TCCCAGCACTCAGGAGCAGGGGCAGGCTGGCCAGCCTGATTTATAGAATGAGTTCCAGGACAGCCAGGGCTGCACAGAGAAACCGTCTCAAAAAAACCAAAAACAAAACAAAAGAATCATATCCATCCATGCAGAATATTGTATACATAATGAATAAATCTTTTTGAAAAAAAAAAATGAGGGGAGGCTAGAGAGTTGGCTCAGCAGTTAAGAGCACTGACTCTTCTTCCAGAGGTCCTGAGTTCAATTCCCAGCAACCACATGATGGCTCACAACCATCTATAATGAGATCTGGCGCCCTCTTCAGGAGTGCAGGTACACATGCAGGCAGAATATTGTATACATAATAAATAAATAAATCTTTTAAAAAGAGAATCCTATCCACTAGGAGGTGCTCAGAGAACAGAATAATCACAGAGACAAGGACAAGGAGAGTATGTATGCGTGCTTCCTACATAGGCAGGGGGCTAAGTAGGCCCAACCCCAACACGGGGGTCTTGGAAGGCAAGGGAGCTGGAACATAGACTGAGACCAGTAGCCAAGATGCAGTACGCTTGGTGCAAAGAAAAGTCTCTGCATCTACTGGGAAAGACAGCATTTGCTCCATCAAGAGCACAAAAACACGGTCTCTACACTTACTCTATTATAGTTCTTTATGCTGCGTTCCCAGAATTAATCGGGGCTGCACCTGTCTCCTATGCGATGGCACGAGTGTTCCCTCCAGGCATCGTGTGGCCATGCCACTGTGATTATGATGACCTTGCTTAGCATGCTTAATCGAATGAAAGACAGAGGGAAAAGGAATTGGGGGTGGGGGACCCTAAGCAAAATCTCAAGAAATCTCCCTAGACAAACACAGTATTCATTAGCACTTAATATGTTGCCAACGAATTCAGGTAGTGGGGTCAACAAGTGCCTCAGACGTCAAAGCCCCCAAGGTTAAACAGCACTGTGCTACTTCCAATGACTGCCTCTACACACAAGAAAACTGAGGTGCCAAGATGTCCAGGCACCGCCAACCACCAACACCAGAATCCGAGTCCTGTTCCCTCCTCAGTCCCCTTCAGCGATGCCATGCGGCCACCTCTGCAGGCCAAAGCTGTATTCAAAGCAGTCGGCCTCATACATTACAAGCACACTGTGTACCCCTTTATAAACTTCTGTGTTTATAAACCACTGTGTTTCCTTTATAAACCTTCTGGTGACGACAGTATTTTTTGTTAAAACAGCAAGAGGGGAAACAAATAAAAAGCACGGAAATAGAAACGCACATACCTGCTCCATTCTCGTCTCGTCTATAAAAATTAACTGCATTTTTTACTTCATTTTCAAGTCCCCAGAGAAGTCAGTGCGTGCTAAGTACAAGTCCTAAGGCTTGTGTCAAAAAGAAAAAGAAAAAGAAAAAAAAGAACATGATCCCAGACTTTTAAAAGAACAACAATCAAGTAGACCTTGATTGATCTGAGCGAAGATCACCCATTGATAACCTGGTAGGACGAAAGACAGATGTGGAAGTTCACAGAATAGGCAACAGCCAACCCACATGAACCAGGCATCCCCCAAGCAAGTTAAGCAGGTTTCAGGGGTATGGACCTTCTTCTACACAGAGTTCTCAGGAAAGGAGCCTGGGAGTCAATTCCCAGTAGGGTGGAGACAAATTCAAGGACACCACAAGGAGGCCGGCAGGGTGCGCTAAGGACCAAGAGACGGGTGTCTTTACACAGGAGGGAGGGAGAGGTGGGTGGTGATGGCCCAGGCTTTTTTATTCCCAGCACTTTGGAGGCAGAGACAGGCGGATCCCTGAGTTCCAGTACAGCCAAGGCTGCAGATAGAAATCCTGTCTCAAAAAAACAAAACAAAAACAAAAACAGGGAAAGAAATAGTGGGAAAGGAAGGGATGTGGTACAATAGAATCAAACAAACAAATGAAAACCCGAACAAAGCATCCCAACCAGTGGAACCATGCGTAAACCTTGTTGGAGTCCTAATTCAAACACTTAACCATCTTGGTGCCGTCTCTTCACTTGGGCGGGTAGCTGGGAGCCTGGGATGGGGAATGAGGACTAGACAGACGCACTACCATTGCGACTATGTAATGAACTATGTCTTAGTCTCCTGCACACTATAGCCTGTTGCAATAAAATGACTCACAATCTCAGTTGTCTTCATAGTACTTCAGTAGTAGCAACAGCAACGAAAATGAATGAAACCAGACAATTCTCCTTAAACACTAACTCTATCCGTGGATCATGGGGTGACAGGAACACAAATTCATATTATTCTATCCACTTCTGCCAGCCAGATCAAACAACAACTAATTTAATGTGTCTTTTGAAGCACTTTGAGAAGCAAACAGAAGCAAAGCTGTATTTTCTCTTGACTTTAAAGTGGGACAAGGTTCCTGATAAAATCTGAGTACTTAGAAAAAGCAAACAAACAAACAAACAAACACAGGCTTGTAATCCCAGCACTAGGAAGGGGAGGTGAAGGGTCGATTCAAGGTCACCCATAGCTGATTCCCAGGCCCGCCTAGGCAGTTAGTGTTCCCCTCCCAAGACAAACAAAAACAAACAAACAAACCAGGGGGGAAGGGGGAGTTGAAAGACCCCTCCCTGGTTCGGGGGCCTTACTTAGGCACCTGGAAGCCTCTGAACAACCAACTTTCCCAGCCTCAGAACCAAATCTCCAGGGAGGGGCCTGAGAAATGGTAACAGTTTGAGGTGCCTTTGGTGACTGATGCAATCTCTGTTCCTTCCTGCTCCAGGGGCCTAGCCAAACAGTTGTCCAGCAGGGTCTACGTTCCAAGCCCACGGGGACGAGGATCACACTGGGTTCCACATTCCCACTGCTATGCCAAGCTTAAAACTGTTCTCCAGTTTCCAAAACAGATCAAAACATAAAAACAAACAAACAGAAAGGAAGAAGCCTCGGCTAACTGGGCGGGTGTGACGCGAGCCTGGCTCCTATCCTCACCTTCATCTACTGCGTCCCTCACAAACATTTGGGTGTGCTCAGCCATTTGTGTTGAGTTGAACCTAGTGCCAAAGTAAAACTCCCTGGGAAGAAGACAAGTGTATCTACACAGCCCAGGGGACTCTCACTGGGCAATGTATCAGCAAGGATGCCTTCCCTTTTACTCAGCCAATCCTGGAGAAAACCCCCAGGAAACAGGCCAGGGTTAGGGCCCGGCAGTACTGAGTATGCCTGACACTTGAACAGTCAGTCACCAGAGACCTCCTGCTCACCCGAGGAAAGAGAAGAAAAGTGGGGAGGGTGGGGGTTGACAGGGGTTGGGAGGGGGGCAACTCACAACTGTAGCTTTGTTTTAACAGCATCAAAACGCTGGGAACCGACTTTCAGCCACAAAACTGACTGGCATTTGATCAAAAACATGTCAATACAGGTCAGCACCTGGGCTGCAAAGCCAGAACCCAACAATCTGGAAGATTAACAATCTCGGGTCCTTCAAAACACTCCCTGTCAACAGGTATCGGCATCTACCCAGATTGACAGCCAACAGCCCTGGAAAGAGGAGTCTCCCAGAATCCCGCTGGGGCTCGGCAGACCCTGGTAAGCTCTGCGGACACATCCCGTGCTTGCTGGCAGGGCAGGAAGATGAATCAATCGTCTTTGCGGAGTCTCACTGCACACTTGGGGCTGGTCCTGTGTAACATTTCAGACTGCGCACGCACTAGCTGAATTACTTTTATGTGCAGTGGCGCTATGCCAGACACGGAGAGGCAGGCATGCTGTCACCGGCAGAAGGGATGACATGGAGAGCTAAAGGCCCCTTTCCCGGTTTCTTCAGTGGCGTGCGGCTCCCGGGGCCGGCTGAGCGCTTGCTTCCTGGTCCACATTCTAAGCCTAGAACTGTTGGTTCAGGCTCTCCCGCTCGCTCTTGCCTCTAACAAGTAACCTATACAAGTGTGTTTAATGTCACAGCCTGGCTCTTTGAAGGAGAGCAGTTTTTAAGTTTTTTAAATTATCTGAAAGAATGGAACTCAGTCAAGTCCTGGGACTGGTTTCTAAACACTAAGAAAAAGGAGAGACTGAGTTCCCAAGGATAACAGATTTCACCCTAGGAGAGGCACCTTGATCATCACAGATACACACAAAGCTAAGGCCCCAGAAAAGAAGGCAGCTCATGAATATAGAGAGGAGCACACCCCTGACGTCACCGGTATTGTGACCAATGGCTCGGCAGTTAAGAGTGCCCATGGTCTGCCCACAGCCTGGCAGCAGACCCAAGTTCAGTTCCCAGGACCCACACTGGATGGCTCATGACCAACTAACTGTATATTGAGCTCTAAGTGCTTCAGATACCCCTGGCCTCTGAAAGCCCCTGCACTTTCGTACATATGTTCGTAGACACACACACACCACACACACATACACACAAAGTAAAAAATTAAAAAAAAAAAAAAAAACTTCAAACGTTTTAAAGACAGTCTCTAATGGGAACCTCAACCGAAGGCAGGACTCATACTAGTAGATTTCATAAAAGTCACCCACACTTCCAGTCTCTGATTGGCCTTAGAATAAATAAGTATATTCAAGTCTCAAAAATACATCATCTTCCACTTATTCCAGTGTCTTTTTCCAATATTCAGAAAGAGTCACTTTTCTTTAAATAAAGCCTCCCCGTTTAACAGACTGTGTAATGCCACATAGATCTTTGAACTTTAAACCAAACCGGGCCAACCACGTGTAAGGAAGACATGAAGACACTGAATTGTAAAATTACAAACCTCATTTGTAAGATTATGTGAAATTATATCACGGTACTCTCTCAAGAAACTGATCCCCCAAGAACAAACAAAAAAAAGCATTACCCAATACATGTAAGAAAAGATAGTTTTTCACAACTATCTAAGGTGTCAAATTATCCACTCATAACTACTTCAACACGGTGACTATGCATTCATTTTTAATGCCAAAAAAAATACTTTTGAGGTTAAAACAAAAAATAAATCCATTTCCAGGTGACCCAGGCAACATACCTGACTCCTCTCTTTGTCCACTTTCTTGAAACACTTATTCAACGACAAATTATGTCTCACTGAGTTTTTCCACCCAGTAGGTGCGTTCGCAAAATACGGGAAATGTTCCAAGATCCAGTTGTAGATATCCTTCACTGGCAGGCGCTTGGTCGGAGAGTCCTCGATGGCCATAAATATGAGGCAGCTAAAGGAGTAAGGGGGCTTGCAGTTGGGGTTCTGCCTGGCATCATAGGGCATGTCCGAGTGGGCGGGGGAGGGGGGAGTGTCATCATCCAGGTCCTGGACGGGGCTGACACTCCTGAGGACCGACTCCCCAAAGCTCTTCAGCAAGTTCTTGCTCTCATGCAGCCAGTTCAGATTGGTCAGCTCTTCATCTTCCATGGTCCCCTCCTCTAATCTTATGTCAGGCAGAGGGAAGTCCAGGTCATCATCTTCCTGGAGGGCCTTGGAGAATCCGCTGCCCCGGTAACAGGGACTCAGTCCACTGGACACACTGATTCCTGAGCTCTCCGGCTTCTTACTGGCAGGCATGACTGGACCCATTTACGTGAAGGCTCCTGGGAAGGACAGCAAAGAGAAGTGAGGAACTGGAGAAATGCAGATCAGGTCCCGCCCAACTCCCTCTCCCCCATCCGGGTCTCAGTTACATGGTGATGGCCTCATAGGTCACCCACATGGGAGTCACACAAGCCCACCATACAGTTACACAATGAAGAAAAATGAGCTCAGTATGTTAGCAGCATGGTGACACTGGAGACAAAGGTGGCACTTTTAATGCGCAAACTCATCATAAGCAGCTTCTCCTTGGGTCGACAGTGGCTCCCTGTGACCAGAGGAGAGAGAACATTACTATTTGGCGTCTCTGACCCTCTATTGTAATGCACACACATCCATAACATGCAGATTTCTTTAAAGACTCAGGATAAACCCAACAAAGTAGGTGTAATAGACAATTACTGTGGTTTTGTATTTCCAGTCTCATTGTTTATCCTCCTCAGAAAGAAAAATAGAAATGCCAGGTCTGAAGGTGCTCACTCAACTGTAATCCCAGCACACTTGCAATTCCAGCATTCTGCAGGCTATGGCAAGAGGATTCAGAGTTCAGCCAGGCAAGGATGGCGCATGCTTTTAATCCCAGCACTTGGGAGTCAGAGGCAGGTGGATCTCTGTGAGTTCGAGGCCAGTCCGGTCTACGAGAGCTAGTTCCAGACTCTAAAGCTACAGAATAAAGCCTGTCTTGAAAAATCAAAAAGGAAGAGATTGAGAGTTCAAGGCCAAGCTGGGCTACAGGAGATCCAATCTCAAAAGGAAAAGAGTGTGGACGAGACAGCTTAGCAGCTACAGTCCCTGGCTGCTGAGCCCCACAGCCTGAGTTTAAGCTCCCAGACCTACAGGATGCAAAAGGAACTCCAGCAATTTGTCCTCTGAGCTCCACATGTGCACTGTGGCAATCACACTCCCATATATACATACAGACATACATGTGCATATATACACACGTGTGTTCACTTATGTGCATATATAATAAATGTGATCTTTTTCAATGTAAGGAAAAATAATGAGATGGGAGGGAAGGCAAAGAGAGTTACTTCCAATCCTATAAAAAGACCCACCTCAGGGTCTTGGAGGTGAAAACTGCAACCAGAAACCATTGGTTTGATTGGTTGGTTTTATTCTGTCCTACAAAAAAATCATAAGGAAAAACTGCAACTTTAATTACATTTGAAAAGTGTAAACAAGGACAACAAGGAATTCTTCAGACTACAAATTGAGGAAGTACTTTCAATTTAAGGACATCACACCTAGACAGAAAAAGCATGTAACCTCGGGCACTAAAATAGCAAATGGGAATGAAAAATAAGCCACTAACTAGAACTAGAATTCGTGAAGAAAATGAAGTTGAGAGAGCAATTAGAAACTTCAAAACAGACAGGCGATTTCAACAGAAAATGTAGCAGACTCTCCCCCGACCATCAGCATCCCCTATCAGTGACCTAGAACAGACAGCAAAACTATCTTTATCTGATAAGAAAAGACAAGGAGATGGCAGCTTCACAAACAGAAAAACCCCACAGACACAACCCTCCGGAATAAAACACAAGATAAAAAGGACAACGGATCTTTCACTCCATGTGTGCAGAGTTACAACTACGGCCTTAGTTATGAACAACATCTCTCTTTTGGCTCAGTGAGGGATTATAAGCACTGTGTCTAGAGAAGGCAAACAAATGGTCGGTCGTTCCACACCTCAAACTATCCACTAACACAGCACAGGAAGTTTCAGTGAAGGAAGTTCTAAAACTGCATTCGAGAAAGCATGATGCAGAGCTGCAAACACCAGGCACAGTGCCAGCATGCTGCAGCACTCGCCTACCGGCTGGACAGAGATGCAAGGGCCACAGCTCTCAAGTGGATGCAAGATGCAAACTCTAAAGAGAAAAAAAAAAATCACCACAGGGCTTAACAGCCCAACCCATTCATCCACGGAAATATTTCTATCAAACAAGGGAGTTAATCTATGTTATCAAAAAAAAATTATTAGCCTGTATCTTCAGTTTTGGAGATGTTACTGAATCCAGCCTGATACTGCTTTTAACTTCCTCATGAAGAAAAAAAAATCAGGGCCAGCTTGTCTCAGAGCTTCCTCGGAATCCCCTAGAAAAGGGTCTAACTGCCAGCGGAGCCACACAAAGAGAACTACCCAGCCAGTGAAGTCAACTTTAGCCCCAAATGAAAGTTTTATGTCTCCTGAGCTTCCAAATAGGAAAATTATATCATGGCTGACAGTAAAGTAATTTAATTGCACTGTTGCTATGACAACACACTGCTCTCTTTCTTTTTAATTTGCTTATTTGTCAGCAGCTTCCCCAAGGAACTAACATGCTATTCTCCATGTTTCCTTTTGTTTTCAACAAACACTGCCGGCAACGTGGCCCTGCAAGAAAAAAATTCTAAAGGCTAATGCCAAGAAGTGGCCTGAAGGAGTCCCTAAACCCCGGGTTATTTGCTTCCCCAAACTCTCCACTAACTCCACCCTTATAAATCCCACGCTTTTTTAACAGGATGGAAGGCTCCTGAGTAACAACTTCTATGTTACAACAACCACAGCTGAGGAGTTTTCCATTATTATCCCTAACTACGACATTTTCCAAATCTCTTTCCCCTTCTTTCTCTTCTTTTAGAGGGGCGGAGGGAGAGTGTGAGCCTGCAGTCAAGCAAATGGTCTTAATCTGCTGCTAATAACGTTGCTTCGAATAGTTACCCACCAGTGACCGACTTAAATTTTTCAAGTTATTGGTTACGTTTCACACACCCTCCTTTTTTTTTTTATGACTTCCTGTGTTTTATCTTCCTTTCTTTCTTTCAACGCAGAAAAATGGAGCAGGAAATCTTACTTTTTTTTGCTAATAGCAGAACGTCTCCAAATAACTGACAATGCCATTATGGCCCAGGTCTGAAGAGAGGTTAGCGGTGAACTTTTTAAAAAGTTGAGAAATCTTCCTCAACCGAAGCTGAGCAGTCTCGAGTTTGGGGGACCGGGAACCTCCCCCTCCTTGCGCGCGCACACACGCACGCGCTCCACTCCCTTTTACTGTACTTGTCAAAAACATTTCAAGGGGACCAACGAGAGCAGCGATTGGCTGTGCCCTCCGTCCATCAGCGGCGTTGCCAGGCAACGAGAAAACTGCTCTTCTCCGCGTACACAGGGCAATTGGGAGCTCGCATACCTTCACTGCCGGTCAGATGTCATAAACCTTTTATTGGCCGCAGCATGGCGAGCCGAAAAAACAAATCAATAAGCACCCACCGCCCCCCCAACTCACATGGGTGTCCAGAAAGGTTTGCAAAGAATCGGGGTGCGGAGGAGTAGGGCCCCGCGGGTCTCGGGATGCTCGCGGCCGGGTGCTGAGCGTGCTCGGCTAGGGAGGGGATCTTTGTTAGGCGCCCGTTCGCGGTCTTGGGGTCTCCAGTTGATCGGCACCCTCTGACCGACCTGGATTGCTAGGGATGCCTGCTTCGCAGACAATACCAACTCTGTCGCTCTCCGGGTCTGTGGGGAAACCGAGGCACGAGAATGCAGCCGGCTCGTCGGTGGAGGAAACTCCTGGTCGAGCAACTTCTAGGCTCAGGGTTGGGGGGGGGGGTCTCCCCACTCCGGGTCCAGCTTGGCCCGCGCCCCGCACTGTGAGCCTAGTTCCGACCGCTGCGGGCCACCACGACGGCCCCCCGGCGTGGACCCCAGCCTGGGTGGCGCGGGAGGACGAGGGCACGGACTCACCTGGCCAAGCGCGGCGCGGGGCCGCCGCTGCCTTCAGTGCAGCCGACAAAGTTTCGCGGGCGCCCAGCGGGCATCGCTCGGGGCCCCGCTGCGGACGCTCGAGCCCTGGGCGGGCGGTGGGGGGTGGCCGCGGATGCGGACGGCAGGGGTGCAGGGGACGGCGCGGCATGGGCCCCGAGCGAGCGTCCGCGGGCGCCGCGTCCTCCCGCCGGCCCCGCCGCTCTCCACGCCCCGTCCCGCCTCCCGCTCGCCTCCGCTGCGGCGCGTCGGGTCCGGGGCGCGCCGAGCGGCGAGAAATTGTTTCCACTGCAAACAAAAAAAGGCGACACATGACCAGGCAGGAGGAGGGGAAGCGCGGGGAGGGAGGGGCGGAGGGAGCGGGAGAGACGGAAAACGTGGGCCGGGCGACCCCGGGCTGCGGCGCGGGCCCTTAGGGAGGCCCTTCGGCCAGGCTGGGCCCCTGGGCTCCTCTGCAACACCCGGGGACCGAGGGGACCAGGGCAGGTGGCGCGTGGCTGGCCCCCTCCCCTGCTTCAGGCCACATGAGTGGTGCTGCGCAGCTGGCAACGTGTCGCCGCAGCGCTTTTACCCCGGCCGCCTGCCTTACAAGGCTCGAAAGTAAAAATAAAAAGAATTACGACGCGAGCGAGGCTTCTGAGGTTAAGGAGAAAAGATTCCACTTTTCTCCAACTACTACTGCAGCACTACCGAGGCGGGTCCAATCGTCCTCCACCACCCTGCACCTCCTGTCGGGGACGAAAAACTGATCCCCAACCTCCAGCCTAGGTTGCCTTGGCTGCGGAGGGCGGGAGGATGGCCGCCACCACGGAGGGAGAGGTACACCCCAAAAGCAACGTCAGTGGGTTCCCCATCCGACTTCTGCATCTGGAAGGAAAACAAGTCTCCCCTTCTTCACACTTCCAGCTTCATAAATTAAAATGATAATTTGCAAGCACACCCTCCCCCGGGAACCGCGCCGCCACTTCTCCAGTCTCCAGGCACCTCCAGAGAATGGCCACCCACTGCTAAAGGCACACCAGCCAGCTGCCTTAGGAGAGGATGAAAGCAGAGTCCAACAGGACACCCTGCTGGTGACATAAATAAAAATAGGATTGCGCACCACTCTCAGGTAGCTAGGCGAGCAGGTTCTACAAAGAGAAGCCCAAAGCCATCCTCCCACGCCCACCTCTACAGTGGACAGCTGTTCAGACCAGATCTCTATGATCTAGGCTGAAAACCCTCCAGCTCGGCAGTAACTTTTAACCTAGCCAGACCAGG